TGATCCAAACTTCACACCATATTACAAATTAACTCAAATCACAGGTCTAAATTTAATATTCACAGGTTTATGTGTGAAAATAACCCAAACATCTACAAATAGGGAATAGATAAACACACTGTGCATACTGATACAATGTAATCCTAATTGGTAATAAAAATGAATGAATTATATACAATAACAGGCTGAGTCTCAAAAGATAATTACACTGAGTGGCAGAAGACAAATTAAAAAAAAAAGAGTAGGTAATATCATTCCATGCGTTCTCATAAGAGACTGGTGCAGTCTACAAGCTGGACAGATGACAGTTTCAATTCCCTCTCTATCTTTTAATGGTTGAATAAACTTTGGAGGATCACTCAGTCTCTCTGATTCTCAGGAGCCCCCCCTTGTCAAATGGGGAAGATTAGGGACACCTGGGTGGCTCAGTGGTTGAGTGTCTGCCTTTAGCTCGGGACGTGATCCTGGGGTCCTGGGATCCAGTCCTGGACTGGGCTCCCAGTGGAGAGCCTGCTTCTCCCTCTGCATATGTCTCTTGTGAATAAGCAAATAAAAATTTTTAAAGATTTTATTTATTTATTCATGAGAGACACATACACACGCAGAGAGAGAAAGAGAGAGAGAGAGAGAGAGGCAGAGACACAGGCTGAGGGAGAAGCAGGTTCCATGGAGAGAGCGGATGTGGGAATGGATCCTGGAACTCCGGGATCAAGCCCTGGGCCAAAGGCAGGCACTAAGCTGCTGAGCCACCCAGGGATCCCAGCAAATAAAAATCTTAAAAAAAAAAAAACCCAAAAGGGGATAACTATGCCTATAGTTAGTAACCTCCCAGTGCCTCATTTTACCCATCTGTTCAATGGGGATACTAAAATTACCAACTTCATAGGGCTGGTAAGAAGAATAAATGGATTAAATTTGTAAGGTACTTTAGAGTAAGACCTGGCACCAAAAAAGTGCTTCAAATTTATTTATTTATTTATTTATTTATTTATTTATTATTTAATAAATATTTAATGAGAACTAATTTTGAGGATTACCATAAACAGATGTTGTCCCTGCTCCTATAAGGCTCAGTCTAGCTTGCAGGAAAAGGAATCCCCAGGGTAGAGATGTTTCCAAGGAGAAGTACTATCTAGGGGGAGTAAGTCAGCCTGGGGGCTACATTGAAGCTTCCCTGAGGACGTGACATTAGTTAAAACCCGGACTTGTTAGTGGGAGAGCTTTGGGCCTCTTTCTGCTTGATCCTGTTTGGGGTTTCCTGGTGCTGGGAGCAAGCTCCTGGGGCTGCCTGATATTCAGAGGCAAAAAAGAAAGGATGGCCTTGGGGTTGCCAAGAGGCCTGTTCTGAGCGACTAGACAGAGCCTGAGGCCGGGGTGCACAGGGCTCTGGACACAAGCACCCCTGGGACTCTATACCAGGCCAGCAGGCTGACTCCCTGGGCCAATGGCCCAGACGGAGGGAAGAACGGGATCCCAGAAAGAAAGATGCCATACTCCGCTTCGTCCACGCGGTGGAGTATTTAAGCCAAAGAAGGGACCTCTGGAGACCCTGAAGCCCTAGTTGCTCCGATTGGCCCAGAGTCACCCCCATCGAACCCTCTTCCCGCAGGTACGACATCAAACTTCTCAAACCTGTGGGCTGTGCCGAGACCTATCCTGGGAAGAGAAAGTCCTCTATAGGCGTTAACAGATGGGAACATTTTAGAGCCAGGAAGGGGCCAAGGGAGACTATTTGGGCCTGGCCCTTTGCCCCACGAATGACGTGCGGGCCAGGAGGTGAGCGAGCGGTGCTGACCAACGCGGCCCAGCCGGGGCTGTCAGACCAGCCCAGAACCCAGGGCCCCCGGCCGCCTGTCACAGTCCCCTCTCTGAGGGCCCTCCGGGTCCCTCCGACAGGGTCCCTGCCCTGTAGACCCCCCCCCCCCAGGATGTAAACTTAGTTGAGTTCAGATTAGCGACAAATCCCCAGTTCTCAGCAGAGTGTCTGGTACATGGAAGACACCCGATAAAAATATAATTAACAAGTAAGGGAAGACCATGACGTCAAGTCCTGATTGGTCTGTAAAATGAATTATTGTAAGGGTTAAAATGAAATCAGTAAAAATTAAATAACATGCAAAATCACTATGCCACCTATGAAGAATTTTTTAAAAAAATGAAAGGGGTTAGGTCAAAGGACTGTATTTAGTGCCCACTCATAGGGTGGAGGACTGGAAATTGATAGCAAAAACAAGGGCCCTGCATTGTGACAATAATTAGCATATGTTTGTATTGATTTGTTTATTTTGCTTCATCCTGTCCTGTTCAAGCGAAACAAAACAAGACAAAAATACTTGCTACATACTCTAACACGATCCCATAAACTAGGATTGTGTGCGACACACAGTGACTGGGGCAGCAGCTAAAACGGGAGTGAACTGATTTGGTGGATACAAAGTTGACTCAAATTTCAGAAGCATTTCCCTGCTTACAAAATGAACTGATTAGGGCTGGTGAGCAAGAAAGCAAAGGAAAAACAAAGAGGAAAATAAAAGTAACCAGAGAAATGGCTGGTACCTAAAAAGTAGACCATAGACGGTGAGAAAGCTGATTTCCACCGCATGTGTCCTCAGGGCTGGGCTGTGAGGCCCCCAGTAGAGTCCAGGATCTGGGGACAGGAACTCTCCACACTGGAGCTTTTTTTTTTCTGTTAATACACAGTTCGTCTCAAGCCAGACTTGAAGGTGAAACTTATATTTCAAAAATTTCTTTCTTTCTCTTGGTTATTTTTCATCAGTTTTGGTCAGGAAGTTCAAAGACTCTGACTTTATTTCCCAGCTTTTGGTAAAATTTTTAAAAACTTACATATTAAGAAAAGTAGGGCACATTCTAAATAAGGGGAACCCCATGAGATTGAGACAATTGGAACAGTTTTCAGAGCTTGACTTTGAAAAACACAAGACATACATGGTTTAACTTGGAAATCTTGTTCCCCTTAAATTTTCTAAAGAAAGCAGAGATCTCAATTGTGGGCCAATGACACGGAAAGTTAACCATGTCTTAGGATGGCTATTTTTGTCTTCATCTTTAAAAACATAGAGAATTTGCCATTAGAAAGAATTGAAGGCTTTCACAGTTTCACTGATGGGTTCTCCAAGGTCCTGGCTTCCTGGACGTGAAAGTGTCCCGACAGACAGCAACTTGTCACCCTGCCTCTCATCAAAAGGCCCTCTGGCCTGGTCTCTCTTGAGAAGGATGACAAACTTCCCTTTTCCTTCGATCCTCTATAAATGTTGTGTATGACAGAGTCCTCACTCTTTCCAAAGCTGGTTTTCCAAGCCAAAGGAAGACAAAAATTTGGTCTGAATTCTAAGAGCCATAGATCACTCTAAAGAGTGGAAAGACATGACTAGACTATTCTTTGACCAGAAGAGATAGTTGAGGAGCCACTTAAGAAAAGGGATGTTTGCAGAGGAATTGCCCTGAGTCAGAGTTCAAGCAGCCAGGAGCACTGGGCTCCTGAGTCCTCACGTTGGCAGTCTCAAACAAGTTGCTAATCTTTCTGAATCTCAGCTCACCTGAAAAATGAGCACTAATTGCTTCAGCCCCAATTGTCTGCTGGATTCAAGGAGAAAATGGAACAGGAAAGGATTCACAAACTGTTATTGTTAGAAACTGACAAGTATTATAATAACCTATGTTCCACCATCTCCAGCCAAGAATGAAGTAAGAATGATAGCTACCATATCTGGGTACCTGCTTTGTACAATGATTTTCCATTTCTCTGTGCTAAACCTTACAATATATGGTCATAATTATCCCCATTTGACAAGGGGGAACTGAGAACTGGAGAAAGTGAGTGACCCTCCAAAGTGCATTCAGCTAGTAAAAGGCAGAATGGGAATTAGAAGTCCCATCTGTCCAACTTCTAGGCTCTGTGTACCAGTCTGTCTTTAATGAAGAGGAAAGAAACAAAAACAATATATTAGGGGCTCAGGTAAAAAAAAAAAAGAAATATGACAGAAATGGTAGCAAAAAAAAACTAAGAGGGTTTCTGAGGAAGGCTGCTGAACTTTTATGTAAAATACTTTAAAATTTATTTTTTAAGATTTTATATATTTATTTTAGAGAGAGAGAGGATGGGGAGGGGCAGAGGGAGAGGGAGAGAATCTCAAGGAGACTCCCCACTGAGCATGGAGCTAGACATGGGGCTCAATCCCATGACCCTGAGATCACGACCTAGGCCAAAATCAAGAGTTGGAGGCTTACCCAACTGAGCCACTCAGGTGCCCCTGAAATTTATTTTAAAATAGGGATGGGTCCTCCTGGTGCCGAGAGTGTTCAGGTGTGGGCAGGGGTAGAAGAAGAGGAAATGTGGCCCTGGGTGGGCTGCCAGAAAGGGTGTCCCTCCATCCCTCGCCTGGTGCCTGGCAGAGCCATGTGAGCATGCATGGCACAGGGGCCAGCCCAGGCCCCGTCCCCAAGAAGAGAGGATGGGAGGCAGAGAAAGGCAGGTGCAGAACATAAAGTCCACCTCAGGGGCTGCACTTGGTTCGTGTGTGAGCAGTGAGGAGGTAGGGGACAAGCAGCCCACCAGGAGGGGACAGGCTGGATTCTCTCCCTATAGTAATTGAATGAATCCGAGGTCTGGGCCGCCCTGTGTCTGTGCACACATCTCCACGGGCCTGTCCCACCACTGTCCCACCTCTCTCCCGTCTCATCTTCTCTTCCTCCTTTTTGAGCTTATTTCTCTTTCTTGACCTTGCTGGCCTCCTTATTTCTCATGCACACGTTCTCCGCTTTCCTTCCTACCTCCTCCCTTTCCACCACTCTGACCGACTGTATCAGCGAATCCCTCAACAGTGTCATATCTAACTTTTTTATTCATTGCATGATTTATTTTTAGCCTGAAACAACTGCATCCTAAAAATGGAGTTCCTGATGAGACAGGGGCTGGGCCGAGCTATGCGAGGTATCTGGGGCTGGGCCGCCCAGCTTGGCCCTCAGTCTCCGCTCGCGTGTGTCCTGAGCCCACGCGTACTGCTAGGCGGAGCCAGGCGGCGGTGGACAGTCGGTCCCGGGGCCCAGGAGGGACACAGGAGAGGGACCAAATCTGCTTCTCTGCTCCCCACTTCTCTCAACCAGTCCTCCGAGAGTCTTCAAGCCGCTTTCCTGCACTCAATCTTTCTGGAAAAGTAAAAGGAGACTTTTCCCAGATGAAGAGAACACACCTGTTCATCGCGGGGCTCTACCTGCTGGCCTCCTGCCGGGCAGAAGAGGGGCTCAACTTCCCCACGTATGATGGCAAAGACCGTGTGGTCAGTCTTACTGAGAAGAACTTCAAGCAGGTTTTGAAGAAATACGACGTGCTTTGCCTCTACTACCACGAGTCCGTGTCTTCAGACAAAGTTGCGCAGAAACAGTTCCAGCTGAAGGAAATCGTGCTCGAGGTAAGCAGGGAGGCACACTGACCACATTGGCCCAGTGACCGGGGCCTGGCCGGCGGCTGGGATGTGGGGACGCGGGTGCAGAGGCTCTGTCCTGAAGGCCACCTGCATTTTAGTCTGGTTTGAATCTGAAGATACTCTTGCTGCAAAGCTGAGGTGTGTGAACAGCAAAGGGTGGGTCCCGCCTCCTAAAATGGGGACAATTAGATGTGCTGCATGATGCCTGGTTCTGATCGAAGCCTATCACATGACAGTCCCCTTGACTTTTCAAGGGCAATAGTCCCAAGCGACTAATTCTTCTGAGATGATGTTAAAACTATCATTGAAAAGCCTGGCTGAAATGCAATTCAGAGATTATTTGTGGGTTTCATTCTGGGGTGCTAACTCCCCCCTCTTGGCTCCCTGAATTTCCCCCCGCAATCCTGGAGACACAGGAGGTATTTGACCTTGCTTCTCTTTCCATGGGTCAGATGCAGAATATCACGAAGTGACCTTTGCCTCTTGTGATTTTGGGCCAGTCTACATTGCAGGGGTGTGAAGATCGTTAGCTGCAAGTTCATTAACGGGATTTTTGTTTTGTTTTGTTTTACCTTCAGAAAGTTCTTGGTGTGCATTCAGGGCAGATGCTGAAGTCAGTTCTTATTTTATCTGCATTACATGGCCTGTTTGTAAGCCTGGCACGGGGGCCCATTCTCTAATCCTTGGTGAGTGCCCCAGGGCCGATTTCCGCAGTGCCTCCTGGACAGTTTAAGATTGCTTACACCTCAGGAGCACCTGTGAATGCTAGGAACTCTAGTTGTCACCAAGATCCCTTCTCAGCCCCCATGCTCAGCCCAAGCACAAACTTGGGGAAAGGACTATTTGAGAATTAACAGCAGCTCACGAACTAGCATATCAGAAAGCTTAACTTAATCGAATACTTTGATAAACCAAGTGCCCATATATAAAAACATGTCCATTTGAATCCCCCAAAATAGATTCTAATAAATTCCATGAAAACCGTCTCCAATATAGTAAAACATTTTTGATTACTTGAAAAGTACTTAAAAATCCTTAGTATCTCCGGAGCATCATACAAGTACCTACTTTCAGAGCACTTACGTATGGTGGTGTGGTTATTACAGAGAGCTGGGGCTGACGAAATGCTAAGCATTTTAAAAATATCACCACTACCGTCATATTTTTCCTCGGGCTTATCCTGGGGGTTGGAAGTGGAAATTCAGTTCCTTCTGTGGATTGCAAGCAAAGAGAAAGCAGGGACAGTTTTTAGATCTTTGTACTATATTTGGAAACATCACAGGCTGGAAGAAATGAGGACATATAGCATAGCTTAGTCCTGACATCCTCACTCATATCGTCATCTCTGTTTCAAATTGCCCTACTCAGGTATCAAGAGACATTTTTTTCTGAAAAGGTGAGTGGAGGCATAAGGATTCTACCTGATATGCTCATCACTGTCTGATAGTCTAGATCTCAAAAAGAATGCCAGTATAGGTAATGACCTCCCATTTCTGATTCCCCATCATAGTAAAGCACACACACATACACATACACACACACACACACACATTCTCTCAGGGATATATCTCCCCCAAAGTAAACCTGAGAAGGGACCTTTCCCTGGGCTGCCCATCCCTTCAGACACCTTTGATCCAAGAGTGGCCGGCAGAGACTGATGTGACATAGTGATGTCCCGCAGGCTGCTAAAGCTGGGGTGGACATCATTAGGGGGAGAAGGACGCAGAACTTAGAGTCAGGAGATCTAGATTTATATTCTGGCTTTACCTTTCCTAGGCACATGATGCAGGGCAAGTCACCTAGTTTCTTGGAGTCTCTTTTTCTTCTCTATAAACATGGAAAAAAAACCAATCATCATACATGGGTAAGAAATAATTAAATAACAGTAATATTTATTGAATGCTTGCTGTGTACAGAGACTGTTCTAAGCACTTTGTGTATATTAGCTAGTTTAATCTGTATGGTATTTCTGTGACATAAGCACAGTTCCTATCCTCATTTTACATAGGGGGACACTGAGGTACAGAGAGGGTAAATTGCCCAGTGCAGGCAGTCTTAGCCTCTGCACTGCACTATTGCTGTAACCAAATGAGATGCTGTTTAGTTAGCTGCTGGATACCCTGTTGAGGATCCTTTCGAGTCTGCCTTAAATAGAGTTGCTCCGCCCGTGGGCTGGGCCTGGGGAGGCCAGCTCTATCAGCAACAGGGTTGAGAGGCATCAAGCCCCCCACCACTACTCCTGTCCCTACCATGGAACAACCTGGGGTCCCTTAGTGAGGACAGGGGAGGGGGAGTGTTTACTGGGGTGCTTGTCAGGTGCAGGCTCTTTTTCAGAGTCCAGGACAAAAATGGTTCCAGGAATCCCATGCATAGAAAGAGAGGGATGAAGCCTCTGCATTTCCTTCCTCGTCAAAACAGTTATTTTGTCCTCTTAATTCCCTGGCCCCCAAACCTGTGTTTAGGGAAATACTCTGCCAGTTTCAGGGTTGTGGCTGTTGAGGGATGAGAGAAGAGGAGCTCCTAGTGAGTATCCACAGGAAATGAGGCCTCGGCAATGGGCAGACAGCGCAGGGACAACCGGCACCTTTCCCCCAGCTAATTCAGGAAGGTGGCTTCTGATGTGTCTTTATCACAATTCACTAAGACCTGGTGCTCATGAGCACATGCGGACACACATACACACACACAAAGGAAACACAGATTTCGTGGGACGACACTTAATATTATTTGGGGAATGCTTGGATTTTTAACAAAATCCTTTGTCTTTTATTCTGTTCTGTTCTAGTCCATTTTGTTCTTCACTTAAAAAAATATTGATTCCAGGGTGCCTGGGTGGCTCAGTGGGTTAAGCAGCTGCCTTTGGCTCTGGTCATGATCTCAGGGTCCATTGATCGAGCCCCATGTGGGCCTCCCTGCTCAGCAGGGAGCCTGCTTCTCACTCTCCTCCTCCCTTATGCTCTCTCTCTCTTTCTGTCTCAAATAAATAAATAAATAAATAAATAAATAAATAAATAAATAAATAAAATCTTTAAAAAATATTGATTCCAACTTGTTAAATTGATTTCATCCTACAATAGTGAGTTGTCACCTCCCAGTTGAAACATCTGAGAGATTTTTAGGGATTTGGAGCTCATAACTTGTCATGTAAGGGCCACCCCATTCTGTTAAAAACCCAAGGAAACCAGGGCCAGTTATGCATATTTTGCCTGCCACTCTAAGGGATAGACAATGGAAAGACCCACCAACAGCACCATCTGCAGGGTGAGGAGGTCATTCCCTGGGATTCAGGTTCTTGAAATGCTGATCAATCACACAAAGATCTGTCACTAGCAGGTTGGACTTTTGGAGTAGCTGCTATGGATACAGGGACATGAGACACCCAGGTGGCTCATGGCCTATGATGGAAGAAGGACAAACAAAAAGCTATAGTGCAATGGGATCATTGTAATAGTGGAACAACTTACAAGGTACTCTGAGAAGAACAAGATCTCCTGCTCTCTGGGAGATATGTGGAAGGCATGAGGAAGAACTGGTCTGTGACAATGAGTAGAATTTAACAGGCAATACAGAAGGGCTGGGGGGTGGTGGGCACTGCAAGAGCAAGGATTCTAACAGATCTCAAGTACTTTCCCCACCCAATTTCCCTAAAATCGGCCATGAGGGCCTCATTCCTTTAGGATGGGGTTTTTGTCTTAGCTGAGGCCCTCTGGGAGAGGTAGTCCTTTGTAATGTTGCCCATAACTTACACCCGCATCTAACCAAGTTTGAGTTCTGTGTGAGAACAAGGTCTGATAAGGGGAAGAGGAGTTGGGAAAGAATGTAAGGTCACTAAAAGCTTAGGCAGAAAGAAAAAAAAAAAAAGACACTCAAGCTTGGAGGAGCACCCAAGCTCAAAACCGTTTTCCAGTCTGTCTGGGTTTAACTCTGGAGGGCAGGCACCAGGGGTGATGTGCGGTGCATAGTTAGGTAGATGCGTTGGGTAGAGGCTTGCTGAATGTGCGACATGTCAGATGAAATGTTGTCCTTGAGGACCGTCTAGATTACTCTGAACCAGGACGCCTGAATGGCTCAGTGGTTGAGTGCCTGCCTTTGGCTCAGGGCGTGGTCCTGGGGTCCCAGGATCAAGTCCCACATCGGGCTCCCTCCATGGAGCCTACTTCTCCCTCTACCTGTGTCTCTGCCTCTCTCTCTCTGTGTCTCTCATGAATAAATAAATAAAATCTTTTTTTTTTTTTAAAGATTGTTCTGAACCCTTTACTTCAGAGCTGAGGCTTTGTCATGATGGGACTGGTAATCCTGACTCTTGACTGGGCATTTCATCCACGAAAGAGCACATACTCATTTAGTAATGTTAGAATACATGGAGAAGAAAAAGGAAGGGGAAAAAAAAGAAAAGAAAAGAAAAAGAAAAGAAAAAAAGAAAAAAAAAGAAAAAAAAAGAAATAGCCCCCTCAGAAAGAAACAGTTCATGTCCTGAGATTTCTCTCCCATATTTTCTGTCTATATGTAAACATACATTTCTCTCTCTCTCTCTCTCTCTCTCTCTCTTTAAAGATTTTACTTATTTATATAAGTAAAAGGCAGAGGCATAGGCATAGGCAGAGGGAGAAGCAGGCTCCCTGCAGGGAGCCCAATGCAGGACTCAAACCCAGGACCCCGGGATCACACCCAGAGCCAAAGGCAGATGCTCAACCACTGAGCCACTCAAGTGCCCAAATCATACATTTTTAAAATGGATTTGTACCCTTTATACAGTTTTGTTTCCTGCTTTCTTCATTTCAGTATATTGTGAGTACTTCTGTGTCATTATAGAGTTTTTATATTCTTGACAAACATAATGTCAGCACTGGCCTGGTATTCCTTTGTATGACCATGCATATATTTTTTAGATTTTATTTATTTATTCATGAGAGACACAGAGAGAGAGACGGAGAGAGGCAGAGACACAGGCAGAGGGAGAAGCAGGCTCCATGCATGGAGCCCGA